ACACTCCACAGAGACATGGACCAAGGAAAGAATGGATGGAAACGCACCCAGCTCTGTCACCTCTGAGAATGGTGACAGCGCAGCAGAACGCGCTTCACCAGACTGGCATTTCCCAGAATGCTTTCTTCGAATCTTGAATATTGTCATTCTAACGAATTTCCTTATCGACTTCAGTCAGTTTTCATGTGTTTCTCTCACTTGTAGCTAAAAGAATCCCGTATTAATAGGAACGGAAGTGGAGGGTTGGGAGGAATGGCGAGGTAAAATTCTAGAACACAGTAGACCTCATTTCAAATCCTTGCTTCGCTCGTCAATAATAGTGTGACGCTACTTCACCTCTCTGATCCCCTGTCCTTGTGTAAAACAGGGGTTACACCAACTCCATGGGAGGTTGCTTTGTGGTGTGTCACGTGCAGGATTTGAGGAGATAGACAGATGACCTTCAGCCAGTGACCTCCCTTCTCTAAGCCTCAGTTTCCTCATTGGTAGGAAGCAGATAAAAATATCTCAAACTGTGATGAGAATTCAAAAAAAAGTAACATGCCCACAGAAAGCTGGGGCTCAACAGGTGACAACTAGCCCCGCATGGGGCAGGCAAGTGAGATTTAAGTCTGTGACAGTCTTTTAAAACCAGCCAGCACCTTTGACCCGCCCCAGAGGGTGACACAGGGCCTGCAGCTGCAGAGTGGTCAGCCTGGGAGGCTGGAACGTTGAAAGAGTTGCTCCCTCCACAAGCAGAAGAGCCGGGCAGAAATTCTAGCAAGTGCTAATTAGGTCGTGAAGCTACCCGAGGGAGGGGAGGAATGCCTGATTAATTACTGGCCTGCTCTGCAGGGGGCCACACACCGGGCCTACCTGTGGCCTTCCCTCCCTGCCAGAGCTGGAAACCCCAGCCAGGAAGCCAGGCGGTTCCGGACAGGTCTGCGAGGGTGAGCCTTGCCGCCATCTGGTCCCCAACTCCCCGCCTAATGTTTGTAACAGACCCACTACCTAATTGCATGGTTGGGGAGCAGCCTTCACATCTTTAACACCTAATTCACTATTGTTTCTTTGGAAGCCCCAATGCTGCGGCTGGCCCCGTTTATGGGGCTTTCAAGCCCCGGGCATCCCAGGCCCGCCTTGTTAGGCTCCAGCTGGGCAGGCAGCCAGGAGGGCACCTCCCTCACTTCCTGCAGGCAGCCTGGGCTTTCCGTCCCCCTCTCCCCTCGGCTCACCTGGTTGGCAAGAATACTCCAGACACAGCCTTCCTAGCTGTGCCCTCCCCACCCGCCCAAACCCGCATCTCTCCCTGATGCTGGGCCGGTCCCACCTTCTTGCCTGAAATCCTAGGGCAAGAGTCCATCTTTACTCACTTCTGGCACTTGGTTACATGGCACCTCTGTGGGGGTGGGGTGCAGAGGGTGAGGGTCCAGGGACAGAGGATGAGGGTCGAGGGCCAGAAGACCTCAGCTGTCTCTTCCCCACCCTCTGCTTCTTCGGGTCAGAGAAAGAAATTTGGGAAGGATGCTAAAAGAGACCTGGCTGGCCACTGAAGGGACTCCTTGACCTTTGAACTCCCTGGAAGAGCCCTGACTTACCTGCTTCTGCCTCATCCCACCGTGTTAGTCATCGCTAGCATCACTCGTCAGTGGTCATCTAACAGGCTCTGTCATTAACTCGCAGGGTCCCTGCGAGTCCCTTCCCCCTTCTGGGTCTTGGTTGCTACCTCTCTAAAGCGACGAGGGCGAAGGGAGATGGAGAGAAGACTAACGGGGTACAACACCTGGGTGGGTCTCCTCCGGCTCTTCCTGGGCCGGAATTATCCCCAGTTCTTCGCTCTGCTATCTCTTTTGAACATGACACTGGCCCCGCAAGGTAAGAACAGTGGATCAATGAGAAACACCACTCATAGAAGATGCACCCAAGGTCACACAGCTGGCAAAGCGGCCAAGCTGAAAACAAACTCAGGTGCCTTCAGTCCCAGAGCCCTCTGTGACTCCGACATCGTGGGAAGGGCCTAGAGGGTTGGGGAAGAGCTGTCATTAGGGACCTGGGAATGAGCATACCCGTTTCCTCTCTCTGGTGCGTTGAGAGATGATGGACACCGAGACCAGACTGGGGGGCGAGGGGGCCGGAGACTGAAACTCGGGGCAGATGCCCAGAGCTCCAAGCATCTCAGCTTGGGTCAAGCCGCAGCTCTAGGGACAGACAAACCTGGGTTCAAACCCCAGCTCCTCCATTTACTTACCTATGTGACCTCAGGCAAGTGACTCCACTGCTCTATAAAGTGGGACTAAAAATGGCCACCCCCAAAGACTGGTTGGGTGGATACGAAAAGATGGTGCTTACTACACAGTAGGTGCTCCCAAAATGGCGGCTGTTATCGCTGGGGTTCCCTCCTCCACTGTACTGTGGGAACCCTCAAGAGAGTGAGTATCCTAAGAAGACACCACGGTGATTGGGAAATCTTCACAGCAGTCTGCTAGGCTCATAGCTCGGGGAGTATCCAGAAAGCTCTGTCTAAAGTAAGGAGAAGCCGGGCCCACACTTCCAAAATCAGGGAGTCTCTAGAAAGGCAGGAAGAGGAAATCGCCTGGGCTCCAAGGGCCGTGAGTGGAGCAAAGGCAAGGTGTTGGGTATCGAGGTGCTGGCAGCTGTGGGCTGAGGACGGAGGCCGAGGATGAGCTGGGGGAGGGGGCAGGCAGAGCCAGCAGCAGGTGGCAGCCGGTGGTGGTGAGGGTCCAGAGCAGTCCCTTTAAAGTGTAAGGCACATCGCCTGTGGCTCCCCATCTCTGAATGAGAGGTCCAGTCGTGGTCTGGGCCCTCCAGGACTCTGCCCCTCTGCCCCATTCACTCTGCCATAGCCCCCCCCCACCCCGCCCCTCATTTCATGACCGGCTTCCAGGCCTTAGCCCTCTCTGTTCCCTCTGCCTGGAATGCTCTTCCCGTCAGTGTTCGTGTGGGTCCCCCCTCCAGAGGCTTTGCCCGACCACCCTCCAATAGGAGCCTCATCACCCTCTGTCCCGTCACCCTATTTATTTTATTTTTCTTTACAATTTATCACTGATGCTATATTTTATATTTCTTTGGTGTATCATTGCTCTTCCCCGAGGGAATGTAAGTTTGAGGGCGGGGGCTCTGCTTCGTTCACTGCTGTATCTTCATCCCCTGGCACAGCTTCTGGTACTGAGTAAACTCGACACATATTTATCGCATGAACGAATGAATGATTGAAATCCGGATTCACGGTTTTCTAACTTGGATTGCTTCGGGAAGGTCATTTCACCTCTCTGAAACTTCCAGGGCAAAGTAAGAGCGCACACGCATCTCACGGGGTTATGGCTTAAATGAAATAATGGAGTATGAAAGGAACTAACACAAAATAGGTGCTCAATAAACCACCACCACTATTGCAGTTATTATCACCAAGGGTCTCAGGCTAAGTCACCTACTCAGTGAAGCCTTGGGCCCCTCAATAATGGCTCTGAGCCTGTCTGTTCGTCTGCCAAATGTGGAAGCCAGGAGTCCGTATGTCCCACATGGGGATGTTCGGGGTGCTCAGGCAGTGCATTTGAGGCACCTCGCAGGGGGGCTGACACATGGTAGGCACTGACCAAGTGGCGGCCACCGCATTCCTGGAGAATCTGGGGTTTGGACGTGGCTCCGCCATTCTCTAATTCTTGGAGAAGTGACTGGACATTTCTGAGCTTCGGTCTCATCTACAAAATTGGGATGACGACAGTACCTTCCTCACAACATGTCGTCCTGAGGTCACAACGAGACTGTGCACTAAAGCCATCAGGAGGTGTGTTGTGATGGACACATGGAACAGGGCCCAGGGATGAAGAGAAACACACTCACAATGCAGAGAAGGGACAGAACCAACAGCTGTGCTTGGCCTCAGCTCCGAGGCCCAAGGCCACATAGAGGGAGCCCACAGCCCGGAAGCAGCTGAGCCCCTTCCTCAGCCAGGAGCCGTCTGTAGAGAAGGCGCTCCTGCCCCCGTCCACCTGCCCCTGTCCCCTCTCCTCTCCTCCACAGGGCCTCATGGGTAAACCGCGTCTGGCCAGCCTTGGCCGGGGGAATTTTCAGTGACAGCCAGACTCCTTCCACCTCGGTCAACCTCCTGCCCAATCTGCTAACCAGTCTCTCCCAACACCCTGGGGCGGCCCTGGGAAAGAAGACATAGAAGAACGGGCCCTGGAAGTCGGGGAGCCCAGACAGGCTCCTTGGCTCCAGCAGATGGAAATCCTCGCCTTCAGAGAGATTAGTCTGAGTCGTTGATTCGATGATTGACTTGGTCACACAGTCCCATACACGGACTCTCACTCTTGAGAATCCGAGGAAACACAAGGTCCCCACCTGACCTGGGCCCTCTGACTCGTCCACCTGACGGAGGAGGGTGGGGGCTACCACTGCCTTGTTCAGCCTGTGCCCGGCAAAAACCAGAAATAGACTCCACGAATGACTCAATCAGTAATCCCTAGACTGCAAGCTCCATGAAGCATGGTTTTATATATATATATATATATGTTTTGTTCTTTGCTGAATTCCCAGTACCCAAAAGCGTGCCTGGCACTTAGTAAGGGCTTAGTAAATATTTGTTGAATAAGTGACTCCATCAATCAACCAATGAATGAAGCAGTGAATAACCATAAGTGAAGTTCTCTGCAGGCTGGACGTGTTTTTTCTTACGTTCTTTGATAAATCCCCAGTGCCTTGAAAGGAGCCTTGGCACGTAAGAGATGCTAGGTAAATGTATGTGAGAATACACGTATGTGACCATATCTCCGAGTCAATCATCGAATCGATGACTCATCAGAATGCAATCTCTCTGAAGGCAAGAATTTCCATCTGCCTTATTTAAGGCTGCATCCTCAGTGCCTGCAGCATCGCAGGCAGCGGATGTTCAATGAACTGGTGAATGAATGAGCAAGGCCCCAGTTCTCAGTGCAAAGATCACAGAAGAAGAACGAAACACTAAGGGGCCGCCCTGCCCCTGACCACCACTCCATGCCTCGTGGTTTTTTAAATAATTTGTCGATTGTTTTTAATGGTTGAGGCAGTAATACTTGGTTCATGAAACTGCAATATACAGAGAGGTGAAATAAATAGCTTATATATATATAATATATATAATATAGCTGGTTTTAAAATATTCCCTTATCATTGGTGTGCTAGGTCACGTGAGTCACGGAAGGTCGATAGCAGCATCCTCCAGAACTGCGAGCAATGCAGGGTCACCGTGATTGGACGAGGCCGTCTGTCGTCGGAGGTCGAGGCGCCGAGAATTCTGAGGGGCACGCCTTCCCTGCGCGGTGTCTTGGGACAGCTTGCAGCGGACAATAAATAAATGACTGCAAACCAGAGAGCGATTTTTGTTGGAGTCTGGGACAGGGACGGGGGATTGGGAAAGAGGGTGGGGGGCTGTTGGGGGTGACAGTGGGGCGGGTGCTACTTTCTCTTTTTTTGTCCTTTTTTTTCTTTTTTTCTTTTTTCTTTCTTTTTTCTTCTTTTGCTTTCAGAACCTTTGGGAAAAAGGACTTTGGTTTCTCAGAGTGTCGTTTTCCTCATTCAAGTCCTCCTCTGGGGACAAGTTTAAGGTTGTCTGTTCCTAGAGAGACAAGCACCTATGCGTTGACAACAGTCCCTCTGCGTGAGTCATTTGTCAAAGGGGGTTTCAAGTCAACAGTAAAATCCTTATCACTCCCCCTCCCCCGAGAGTTTTGGTTCAGTTTTTGTCTTCTTTTAAACACAATGTACAAAAATAGAGCCTCTTCCTTATTTTTCATGTAAAAATATTCCTCTGATGCAGTTCTCTGTGAGTGTGAGTGTGGGCCGGGGCCACCTCGGGGGGCCACGGGCGGCCGCCTAGCCGGGGTGCGTGGGGCGGATCCGCCGGGACCTCTTGGTCACTGTGGTGTACTTGAAGGGCTTCTGCAGCTCTGCCTGCCCCTTGGGATAGCGCTTCATGAAGTGCACGTCCTGCTGGTTCTCCCGAGTCTTGGGGCCCTTCCTCGGCCGCCCCTTCTTGGTGAAGCCCACGTACCAGCCGGAGTACTTGGCCGACATCAGGGCCGTGTAGTTGTTCTCCAGGACCTTCTCGATGAACACACACTCCTTACTGGTGCCATCAGGCTGCGGGTGGGGAGAAGAGAAGGTGGTGAGAAGGGGAAGGGCAGCTGCGAGGGCCATGGCTACGGGGGCAGGGCTGGGGGGGCGGGGTACGGGCCGGTGGCCGAGGCTGGAGGCAGCGGAGTAGAAAGAACCTGACCCAGGCTGTGGCCTCAGCAATTTCACTTCCTGGATCTGTGGAGTGAACTTTTCCTATGGGCCCCTGTATCCTTTCTCATGCATCAACTAGGTAACAGACTCCTCTTATTCAGAGATCCATCCCTTCCCCACTCTCCACCTGGCAGCCAGGGGCTTCTACCTCACCTCCAGCAGAACAAGATACCCACATCTAGCCAATCAAAACATTGTTTCCTGTGATTGGTGCAGGGCTGGACACAGTGGCCTGAGCCATCCAATCAGTGTTCGAGACGCTTGTACACGTGATGCCCGATCTAACCAATCAAAACACTGTTTCCTGTGATTGGTGCAGAGCTGGACACGTGGCCTGAGCCCTCCCATCAATGTTCTTCAAGACACTTGTATAAGCGCTGCCCCAAAACACAGGCTGACTAAAGCCTGGGGAACACGTAAGGCCCAGGTGAAGGCAGCCATGTGACCACCATGAGGAGAGAGACTGACAAAGCCTGCACGAAGAAAGCAAAGCCAAGAGCAAGAGGCTAAGAGAAACCAAGTCCTGGTCATATCCTTTAGCTTCTGGACTGGCCCGCATCCGAAACTCCACTTATGTCACAGTTACGTGGGCCAGTAATATCTCATTTCCTTTAAACCAGTTGAGGGTGTGTTCCGTCACTTACAATAGAAAGGTGGCCCGACAGAGGTGCACAAAACTTGACATGAAGTCAACTCAACTGCCACTGTGATATAGTTAAAAGTAAATTACATTTAATGTGGCACGTAGTACATTTTAATGTTTGGTGTCAAGACAGGTGGGGGCCTCCCAAAATAAGAGTTTGAGCATGGCCGAACTGCAAAGCCTGTGCCCTTGCGTTTGAGATCTGAGGCCCCCCAGCAGATGCGTGAACACTCCCTGGGACATTACACCAGGCAAGGAGCACTAGATTACGACTCAGAAGCTGAGTCAACTCTAACACTTCTGGTGTCACCTCAGGTTAGTTTATTCCACTCTCTAAAACTCAAATTCTTTGCCTTACCAAACAGGGACAATGACCCCTGCGTCATAGGAATGTTTTGAGGAATGACGTTTATAAGCGAGCCTGGCACACAGTAGGAACTTGCTGAATTATTTCTGAAGACCAGGTAGTTCAGACGGTTTGGCTTCCTTCCTTGAATCTGATCTGGACAAAAGGTGGTGGCAGGCAGGCTTTGAATCTCCTCCCTGAGACAGCCGAATTGCTCCATGTGGAAGAGTGAGAAACACACAAAGTTGGAAGGCCTGAATTAGCAGCACTCGAGTTTCCAACTAACATCTCCAGATATAGGCCGGGCCCAGTCCTGGTTCCGGACGGATGCCCCGCCAAGTTGGAAGCCCAGTGGTCTGGCTGTGCGTGGAGACTGAGGTGCGAGTTCCAGCCTTTTGTTTGAAGTGGAAAACGGGCTGGAGCTTCCAGGAACCTTCACCTTTGAGCGGAGGGCAAGCTTGGGCTCTGCAGACAAAGTGCTGAACTTTGCAGAAAGGGACAGGCAGGGTAAGAAAACATTCTCTGGAGGACGAGATCTTTTGAGGAGGCTGCAGAGCAGGCAGCGGGGAGGGTCTGGGAGACATACACGCAAGACAGTATGGGCGAGGTGAGCAGTAAGGGAAGCCAGAGCATATGTGCGAGGAGGGTAGAGGGGAGTAGTCTCTGGGCTTTGGGCACCCATGGATAATTCTGGAAGCTGCCTATCCAACCTGAGTCCAGGTCCTTTGGCCAGTCTTGATGAAACAGTCAGGGAAAATGGAACAAAGGCCACACCATGCCGTTTCCCCTGGAATACCTGCCTGGAAAACTGCTTTCATGCTTCAAGGCTCAGTTCAGTAACTGCCTCCTCCAGGAAGCCTTCGCTGACTGCCATCTATCTCCCTGGGTATTCCCTCCTCTTCCTTCAAGATGCCATTCAAGCATCAAACTTTATTGGACTCACACATTCCATCTCCTGGACCCTCCTGGCACCCATCCCTCCTTCCCTCTTGCCTGCCTCCTCATCAGCCCAAGAGTGGCAGGAGGTGGGGACTGCTTCTCAGTTGCTCTCAAGCTCAGCCCAGCCTTTGCCAAAGACACGGGTGCCCAGAGCTTTTGTGGTTGAATGGACACAGGTTCTCCTAAGAGAGAAATGGTAGGGATGACACAGGAAAGAGTTTTCCTCTAAAAGAAAACAGACTCTGCATCCTGGATCCCTGACTAATGTCCCAGAGACAGTCACGAGCCCCTCTTGGGGATGTAGCGAGAAGGGGACAGAGCGAGCAGAGCGCTGGGGCTCTCTGCCTGGCGCGCTCGGTCTCCCTACTCGTCCACTCACTCATTCATTCCGCATTTATTGCCAACCTTAGGCCAGACATTTCCACATCCATTATTTCATTTAATCCTCTTAACTCACTGAGGTAGACTCTACCTGGTAGGGAAAAAAAAAGAGTTCAAAGAGGCAAAAAGTCACGGAGCTTGTAAGTGGCAGAACCTGGATTTGAACTTGCATTTGTCCCTGCAGCTCGCTTCTCCTCTGTCCAGTTCCCGACACACCCACAAGGAGAAAGGGTACGGCGGAGTGGGTGCTGCCAATCAAAACACCACACCTCCCCAGGCCGACACGGCCACATCGGCACGAAGCGAAGTCTTGGATGTTCAACAGCCAGCACAGTGCTGGGCACACGCGCTCATTCACGTCTGGGTTTACTTAAGAGAACTGGGGAGCCGGGCTTGAGGCCCAAACTAGAATCCTGTTCCTTCTACTTGATGTGAAGCCTGACTCCTGATGACATCACTTGAAACTAGAACGACCCCTGGACATTTTTAGTTATACAGGCCAAAAATTTTCTGTTTTTGCTTAAGGCATTTTGAGTCGGGTTTTAGAGTCTTCAGTCAAAGATGTGGTGGTGGGCAAGGAAGCCCCCTGCCCCAAAAGATTCTGGGGCCCTCTGCTGCCCCAAAGAGGACTCACCAGTGATCACACAGGAGGGAGTAGATGAGAAAAAAAACCGATCTGGGTTCAATCTCCAGAGACGGGGGAAAATGCCTAGTACATAGTGCTCCGCACTCAACAACTATTTATGGAATGAGAGGAAGCACCGCCTCCTGGGCCAGATGGATGTGGGGTCCAGTGGGGAGGCAAGAAGAGGGGCTGCCTGAGCAGGCAAGGGCTCAGGGCACAGCTCTGCCACATGGTTGGTCCAGTGCAGCAGAGAGAGTAGCGATGCCAAGGGCCTGAATAGGCTCTACCGGGGGCTCAGCGATGTGCCCAGCGGTGGCCATCTATATGCGAGGTTGGTCGAGACCACCCGAGAAAGCTGTCCTGTTGAGCCACTCCAAAGGATCTAGAGCCTACACCGCCGAGGCCAAGGGTCCCCACAGGTGAAGGGGTGACGTAGCGACCTGGCTTCCAAGGGGAAGGGAACTAACATTTAAGTGCCTCTATGTGCCACCGTTATCACTCCCGTCTTACAGCTGAGGATACTGAGGCCCCGCAAGGTCGGGGCATGCTGACCCCGGCCTGATGTGGATAATTCTGGCTGTAGCTTAAGAGTCAATCCTTGGAAGGCAAGAATCGTATTTCTATTTCTTTGGTGCTCTGGTAGCCCTTCAGACAGGTACACAGAGCGAGGATGGAAGGATCCAGAATCGGCCCTCAGGAGGCTCTCATTGGCATAGGCCCAAAGACAGCCAGTGACAACCCAGGAGAGCAGACTGGGATCGGAGGGCTGTGTGAGGGGCTTGGGGTTCCCGGGGTAGTCAGAAAAGCTAGAGGCTGTTGAAAGATGAGCCAGGCCTCGGGGCAGATGGACAAGGGCAGGGCCATCGCGGCGGAGGGTACGGCACGTACAGAGCAGAGGCTGGCAGTGCCATGTATCTGTGGCATAAAGAAGGTTAGGACTGGTGGCAGGGCCGTGAGGCCAGAGAGCCTCCCTCAAGGAGTGTGGCCTTTCCCTGGTAGGTGGCAAGGCCCCAGGGTCTGGTTCTCAGCTGAGCTGGGGATAGAGGGCAGGAGAGCGGGGATCGCTTTCGTGATTCAGAAAGCGATGGGTGGGCAGTGGGGACAGGCCTGGAGTGGAGCCTGAGGCTGGGGACTCACGCCCTGAGGCAGCTGGGGCGGGAGTTAGGGAAGGAGGGTGAACCAGCACCTAGGGCCTGACTGGCCAGGGTGTCTGTGACAGAACAGCAGCCCAAGGACGCACGGCTTCCAGCAGCAGGAGCCAGACAGAGTAAGAGGCACTGGGCTGGCAGAGGCCAAGAAGGGGACCTGCCTGGGCAAAATCGGGACAGGTGGATTTGGGGGTGCCCTTGGAGCTCCCCAGGCCAGGCCAGAAGACAGAAGCCTGGAAGGGGATGATGCGGGGAGCCGCAGCGAGGAGGAGGGCGCCCCGGGCTGCGCCAAGCCTCTCCTCTCCGCCAGCTGAACCGTCCCCAATATTAATGATGGCAGAGAGGGCGAGGGGGCAGGAAATCGGAGCCGGCTCCTGTGGAAGCGGTGACTCAGCGGCCAGCCGGCGGGCTCTGGGCGGCCGACGACGACGGCGGGGAGCGGCCCGAGGGGACGGGGCTGCTCTTTTGA